GAGTTTGGACAGCTGTGATTTGGTTTAATTGTCAGGGCATTACTTTTAGTTCCTCTGCCTGAAAACAAACATAAAAACATAATAAGCGAGCAATTTCCCATTTCTTGCACAGGAGCACACTCTGCAGCGTAATGGCACAGTTAGCTGAAGAAATGCCGCCCTCCTTCGTGACTACTTTGAAATCAAGAGCCGTGTCTGAAAGCTGCAATGTAAAGTTCACCTGTGTGGTTACAGGTATGCATAGCTTCACACAAAGATACAACATAGTTACAGCGTGTTTAAAACACATTGAGCTTAAGGTGACTGAAAAATTTAAAATTTAAAATTATGAAATTTAACTTGTTTTTTGTCTCTTTTCTCAGGACACCCTGTCCCTCAAATTACCTGGTATAAGGATGACAAGCAGATGGATAGATACTGCGGACTGCCTAAATATGAAATATTCCACAATGGACAAAATCATTCCCTGCACATATACAAGTATTTATATCCAAAAACACTGTTAAAGTTATTTAATTAAGATATTATAAAGGTCAGAATTATATTAAGCTTTCACACAAAGAAATTATAATTACATAGCCACTGCTCTCCAGGTTAATAAGGACCACAGTATTTGTTTCATTCAACAAAAGATGCTGAAGCTAAAAAGGTGAAACTGAATGTCAAGAATAAGAGCTACATAAAAGTGAAATCCAAAGAAAGTGGAAAGAAAAATTAAGCTGAATGAAACTTTACTCAAGCTCCATGTAATTCCTTATGCAGGGGCTTAAATAGTTCATTCACATTTTTTTTATGTAAATCTCTGTGTTATTATTGGTAATAATAGCAGAAGAAATATCACCATGAGCTAGTTTAACATGTAAATTCATTTTTTAGACATGTTGAAACAAACTGTTAGTGCCCGTCAACAATTTCACGCCATTTGATGCATTCAGTGGTGTTTTATTTTGAAGGTCATTTACACATATCCTCAGCACTTCTAGTTCTCCTAGTATATTGCAGTCCAAAGTTAATTCTGCCTCTTAAATAAGACGCATGTGTCTGCTTTTGATGTTGATAATAATCTCCTTGTTCATGTGATTTTAATAAATCCGCAGTTGCACTATGGATGATGCAGCTATCTACCAGGCCTCTGCCATCAATAGTAAAGGAATTGTTTCCTGCTCGGGGGTCCTCGAGGTTGGCGAAATGAACGAGTTCAAGATCCACCAGCGGTACTTTGCCAAGCTCAAACAAAAGGTTGAAAACAAATGCAGGGAAACACAGGAGGGAAAAGAAAACCTGGAGCCCCTGCGAACCATCAGCCCAGACCGAACCCAGAGGAAACGGCGCTCAACAATGGAGGCCTTCGTCAGCATGCCGAGCCCCATAGAGGATGGAGGCAGTGAAGAGATCCATCAGGCAGAAGGTCTGGAGACTGAATGTATGTTGCAGAAGGGCACTGTTGAGGAGGTCTATAAAAATTCAAACACTGACATAAAGGAAGCCGTGTGTGCTAAGACAACTGGACATATAAACAATGACCCTGGCAATAAGAGTAGAACATACGCGTATGATCCTGATCATAAGAGTTTTACCTCTCAACAACCAAAATCTCCTTTTGTCATGAAGAAGATTAAAATTTCCGACAGTGCAACACCCGTAAAACCAGAAAGTTTTGGTGGAGGGAAGATGATGGAAGACGATACTTCTTCTGCAGCGCCAGTCTGCACAAAGACTGTACGAGCTAGTAGAAATTCAGAAGAAGTCATGGAAGTAGAAAGCAGTGTCAGTCCATCTCTTATAAATACTAACTCAAAAAACATAAAAGGGGAACGTGGAATATTAGCGAAAGAGGAGGGATTGTTCATTAAGAACCCGTCAAAAGATGTAAACATGTTTAATAAAAGGAAAGTGCCATCACAACGAGAAATTGTCCCTACATCAGAGATCTCTGTTCCTCCATCTCCAACCCCTACGGTGTCAGAAAAAGAAGGCAAGAAAATAGCCAAGCACACAAATGAAGGAAGTTACAAAGAAACAGAAAAATGTTTGGAGAAACAGAAACAGGTTCCTCACTTTGTGCCTGCACAAAACAAGTCAAGCAACAAATCAAGACTTCTAAGCATTACTAAGGAGGACACTGATAAAACCGGACATGTTGGAACACTGGATACCGACGTAAAGTCAAACACATCTCTGGATGGTTCTGGTTTTAGAGAGCCAGTGGACACACCATGTGACACAGGGGCTGTTTCGCTTCAATGCCCGCGTGAACGCGCTGAGAGTCTGCTGCCTGAGAAAGAGACAAGCCCCTGCCAAAAAAAGGAGTCTGCATCTCAACCAGCAGTGCCAAGTGAGGTGAGTTAACATTTTTCGCATGAGGTCATAGCGGCTTTATGCCGGCAGCACAGACCCCATAAGCAGCACAAGCATCCTGGTGATATTAATAGCTTTTACAAGCATGCCCTGTTCTGGGTAACGAGCCTTAAATGACGCACATGTTGACAGCCGGAGCAGTTGTGTTGGTGCAAGACATGGTCTCATGGTTGGCTTTGTGCTCTTATTCTGATCGAAGTTTTAGTTTTTGTAACCCGTATAATCTGGTAGAGCTCATGAAATGGTGACATTTATCTTTGAGTTGTACATTATCCCTTTCTAAATAAAATATATTATTATTATTATTATTATTATTATTATTATTATTATACACATGCTGGCAAAACATTGCATAATCCCAACATTCATACTCAAGGACCAGTGAAAAATACCCAAAATATTGTAAATATTAAATCTATAGTATATGCCTGGACTAAATTTGTCAAAAATATTATTAAAGTATAATTTTGTTTTAGATTTAATTATAATATTTTTAAGATACAGACATGGAACATAACACAATGAGTCTTATAAGGCTCAGTATATTAAAATTAGGTTTTTATTGTCTTCAGTAAGATTCAAGCTAGATGTTTTCCCTTAAATGTAGCCAAATATACATGTTTAGTTTTTCTTTTCCAAATGATAAATGTAAGTAAAAGGAACAAAACACAAAGGTTTTCGTTAACTGAGAAGAATGAATGTCTACAGTACACCGCTTATGCAATCGCCTCAACCTCATCTGCATAGTGTGAGCTGAGACAAAGCACCACACGGCAAGAAAACTCTTTAAAATAATTCACATTCCTTTGTGGCCACCTTACATTTAAAATAGCAACCTTCCTTCTGAATATGCCTCTAGATGTCAGTTTAGTTAGGAGTGGAAAGATAAATGTAAAGGGTAAAAACTTTGACGTCAGTTCAGAGTTTGCTTCTTGGACTTAACTGGATTTAATCCCTTCATGATACATTGAGACAAGGAGAAGTCTTTAAAAAAGGAAAAATACTGGATAAAAAACAAAATATGTTGTTACTTTTAAACACTGAGTTCTTTTATTGCAATGCTTTATTAATACTTGCACTGGCTGAATCTGTATGTTAAAGGTAAATTTACCAACCTGAATCGGTTTACAGTTTAGACCAATGTAGCACATTGTGCAAATTATTTTCCTTCTACGTTGTGGATTGCTGTGTGGCTGTTTTTAAGTTTGCGTGTGTTTATTTATGTCAAGCAAAGCCAGGGATAAAGGAATAAGTATTTACGGCTTGTGTTATATCCCAAGGTTACAAAGGCCGACGCAGACATGAACTGGAATGATGCACCTGTCAGCCTTAAGCTACCACTCAACCAGCACAACATATACTCAGAGCTGCCACAAAAGACAGATGACATCCTGACCTCCCCTTTGTCCAGTAGTCCTCAAACAATCACTGATGAAATGCCACAGGCTACGTCGGATGATTCCAGGAAACCAAATGGAAGCTGTTCAGCCATTTTTACTCGCTTACAGAAGTCTGCACATGAAATCCCTAGTTGTAGTGGGAGCATCCCGCAGTGTAACGTTGCTGTCACCCAGCAAAGCCAAGTGGATACAGCTATAAAAACCTTTGACGGGACAGAAATACAAGAAGAGAAGTTAAAGGTTGGTGAGGTGGGTAAGTTCAAAGTTCAGGCTGTCAAGGGGACTCGAAGTGAGAAGATACTGGAAGTGGAGACGAGCTGTCTACACGAAAAAGCTATCTCACAAAAGACCAAAGATGTAGGGAAAAAAGACTCTGGGGAAAAATCTGCACAATCTCCTATCGCTGATGCTAAGAAGACTCAATCCACACACTGTGAGGATTTGAAGGAAGGTCGACTTGAGATTGCTACCCGAAAACAACTTCCTGAAAACACAAATGCACCTAAAGACACAATGACATTCACAAAAATACCCAAAACTGAATCCAAAGTTATTTCTATTGCTGAACTTTTAAGATCTCAAATAAAGGCTCTCGAGTTGACACAAGACAATCCAGTCTCCAACGTGTCTGTCCCCTGCAAGTTAACCAAAGATCCTTTGATAAAGGATAAAGAAGTATGTCAGCAAGCAAGAGAAGAATCCAAAAAACGTACACCGGAGGTGAATACTATCAAGACTAAAAATGAAACTGAGACAAGCACTGGCAGAGTACCTGAAACGAACCTAAAGGAAACACTCATGAAGGTCTATCAGCAGCTCAATGAAAAGGAACAGGAACATGTTCTGACTTCAAATGAAACTTCAACAACTGTTCAAACTTTATACACACCTGTTGTGGTCCCCTCTACCTTTTTCAAGGAAACTCACACAGCATCAGATATAAACATGATCCATGGAAGAGTGGATAAAACTAATGAAGATGTTATGGACACCAGTCAGGAAACTGTGGTTCCGTTAAAAGATTATTCTATTATTTCTTGGTCTGGGAGTAAAAATGTAAACAACAGTCCCCATTCTTTACCTTCAGAGAATGGATTCATTACGGAAATTCAGTCAATTTCAAATCCACCAGAACCTAGTCTTCAGAAATCCGGTTCTCTAATTACAGCAGCACATACGGAGAACAACATTCAAAAAGAGCAGGGTACAGTTGTGGAGCACACTAGAGGAGGAACTGTTCCAGATCCCAATATGGCAACATCAGTTTCACAAAAACAGCTCAACGACAAATTAGAAAGAGTTTCTGAGCAATACAAAATGGAGAAACCTATAGATAATTCTTTTCAGACCTTGCAAGCATATCATCAGTCTGAACATGAATTTAGTTTAACTAGGCAAGTAAAGGATATTCTTCCTACAGGGCAGGAGAGCTTAGTGGTTAAAGACGGTATGAGACCTGACCCGTTTAACATTTTAACTCCAGAGTTCACACCACTGTTGAAGAAGATTGATTTTATTTCACCGATTCCCTCTGCTACTCCACAAGAGCTGGCCTCTGGGGCACGTCGCAAAATCCCAACATCGAATGCAAAAACAGAGGAGGCTCAAGAGTCAACATCACCCACTAATGGCCAAACTCAGAAAAGAGAGACGCCTGGTCAGAGCAGCAAGCTCCCAGCAAGCTCTGTGTCTCCAAGCCTGTCACAACGGTCGCCGTTACTGCGCCCCGCAGAAGAGCAAACATCTGTGGAAGAAAGGCAATCTCCACTTTTGACCAGAAGGAAGATGGCTTCTGAAACTCAAATACAAACCCAACTGTGTACTGAGAAGATCCCCACCGAGGGCAAACCTACAGAGAAGGATAAACATAACCCATTCAAAGGTAAAGTGGAAAATGAAATGACCTAATCTCTTTAAAGGCTTCTATAGTTGCTCTTACAGAAGAGGGGATGTCATCAAAGGTAGTTTTGTAATATAGATAGATCTGCTAGAGAAGTAAGTTCTCACATTTTTTTGCTGTTGGGCAAAAAATATTGCAGAGGGATAAACGTGCACTAACAACATGCAGATAATGGTGCATGAAGAGAGTGCCAATTTTGATCCTAAGCTAGCAGCAGCAACCACAGGCATTACAGATGTTGTCACATCCCAGTGAACTGCCCAATAAGAGATTTAATCTCCCTCTGCAAATCAGTTTGTTCAATTTAAAAACTGAAATGATTTTGCTGAATTTGTCCACACAAAAAAAAATTCCAGATTACAGTCTTTTGCTTGCAAAAGAGCAAAACTAAAAACACATTTTAATCTATTGAAATCACTATCAGCCCTATGCAACACACAAAACTGCCTCATAGCAAATCATCTTTTAACTACATGATGTTTGTGTAATTGAGTGAAGGTTGTTATAATGTTTTGTTTTCTATTGGCTTTTAATGATAGTCCATCACTGTCAGCTTACTACTTTTGCACAAAATCATTTGAATTCTAGAGTCATTGGATTCTATGCAGGCAATAGAGACTCGGGTCCATTTTGCGTTTAGTTGTCATCTTAATCGGCACATTTTACGTTAAAAGAAAAATCAATATCTCAGTGCATTTTTCTCTAACTACATTAATTCTCGTCTATTTTTTACGGATTACAGTTTTCACACATTTCGTCACGAGATTGTGTTGCTATAGTCCAAAATGTTTTTTCACACATCGTTGGCAGAAATGCTGTAAAATGGCTGTGGATCTTCTCTCTCTCTCTCTTTTTTTTTAGCTCGTTTCCATTGTTTATAAACAGATAAACAATCATGGGCTGTCATCATTAGGATATGTGTGTACCTACAGTGTTTTAATATCTCACAGATGCTTGCTACATTAATCATACAAACATTAACTTGGAGCTTTACATGCTTTAAAGAAGTTGCAACACAGTATTCATAGTAGTGCCGAGCTTAACAATAATCCATGAGCTCACTGCTGTCTCCTGCATGGAGTTTGTATACTATTAACGTGGATCTAGGGAGTTTTTCAGTGTCCTCAAGTTTCTTCACTGTTCAGAAACAAGGATGAAATTGTAACTGGCAATAACGAAAAGATTTTGAGTGTTTCTCCGTTGGTTGAAAATTGAACACCGTCTCTCACCTATAGACTGCTATGAGCAAAATTTACTATGAGTTCATCCTTGCAAAAACAAAGATTGTATGTTGCAAACATGCCCAACTAAGGGGGGATTTTCACTGTGTGCTCTGTGTCGTGGTTTTCTCCAGCTCCTCAGGTTATCCGTAAGATCAGGGCTGAAGTCTTTGCAGATGGCTCTGGACACTTGAAACTGTGGTGCCAGTTCTTCAATGTTCTTAGCGACTCAAACGTCAAGTGGTACAAGGATGAGGAGGAGATTGCACAGGTTAAAAAAATGTAAGTTCATCACAATATGTTTTTTAATTGTAATTTTGTTTCCAATAGTTTAGAAACATTATAAAATGTTTGTTGTGTGTTTTCCAGTGCAGGGGACGAGACCCAGGTCAACCTGGCCATTGTTCAGGCATCGTGTAAAGACTCAGGAGTTTACGGATGCTCAATAACCAATGAATATGGTTCTGACACCACAGACTTTCTACTTAGCGCTGATAGTATGTATACTATCAAAAGTAATATTTCTATGATAGTTTTATTATTTGCTACAAGACACGTTTAATCTGCCTTGTTTTTCAGTTTTGGCTGGAATGTCTCTGCGTGAGGACCTTGGTGGTAAGATCAGACTTAAATATTTATTTTTCTGTTATTTATTCGTCAATAAATCTCTGTTTATTACTGTTCATACAGTTGGCGAGGAAATTGAAATGACCCCCCTCATATTCAACAAGGGACTGGCGGATTCAGGCATCTGGGGCAACAAATTCTTTGGACGTATAATAATGACGGAGTCACAAGTTGGAGCTAGCTGTTCCAGTAAAATCTGGAGAGCTAAAGTCATTTACGGCCTTGAGCCTGTTTTTGAGTCTGGTAACACATGCATAATTAAAACACGCAGCCCTATCACCTATGCAGGCAAGGAGGAAAGCTCGCTCATAGAAAGGAACCAGCACATCATGAAACAGGTATCTGAAAAAGTGGAATTTTGCGTATTATTCTTACCATCCTAGATTCAAAAATGTCACATAGTATACCAGGAGTTTTAACATTAAAGGAAGCCAGGTGTCATGTCTGCCACCCACACAGGATTACTGTGATACTAATCTACTTAATCTTAAATAAAAAATTATACAGAAGGTTTTGCTAATCTTTTACTGGCTGTGATACTATGTTTTCCATACAGGAGTGTAGAAATCAGAACTTGGCACGGGAATACTGCAAAATCTTCAGTGCGGAGGCGAGGGTCATAGAAAACTTTGGACCCCCTCTGGAGTGAGCAACATCAATTTTTAGTCTTGATAATAAACCGTCAGATGCTCTAAAAACTTTCCTAAAAAGTTATTCCCACTCTGACCTTATTTATCCTCACTTCCTACACAGGATAAGTCCAGTGTACTTGATGTACAGACCAGCAAACCCAGTCCCCTATGCCACAGTGGAAACTGATCTGCTTGGAGTCTATAAGAAATACTCTGTCCTGGATGATACGGGGAGAATAAACGTCAAGACCGGTTCTGAAGTAGAGCAGAAGTGCTGTGCATTGCAGCACTGGATTTTTCAGTGGACTTCTGGCAATTTGCTTCTCACTCGCCTGGAAGGTGAGCTGACACTCAACGTCAGTGGTGCACTGTGGAGTTTTACATACAGTCACTGGCCACTTTGTTAGGTATACCTTCCTGGTACTGGGTTTGGACCCCATTTTGCCTTCGTTATTTGTGGATATATTCAGCAAGGCGCCTTTATTAAAAATGGATTCTAGATATTATTGACATCATAGCATCATCCATTTACTGCAGATTTATTGACAGCACATTAATTGGATTGAGGTCTGATGACGATGGAGGTTATTGTTGTACAGTAGGTCATTATTTTATTCAATAATTCTGTGACTTGGTGCATTATCCTACATGAAATAACCAGCAGGAGATGGATACACTGTGATCACAGAGTGAGGGCCCGAATCCTCTGGATTGATACAACAGCAGATCCATGTTTTCATGTTATTCATGCTAAATTTTGACCCCACCATCTAAATGTTGCAGCTGAAATTGAGTGATCAGATTTTAATGTTTTTTCCAATCTGCTATGACCCAATTTTGTGAGCTTGTGTGTGATCTTGGATTTCTATTCATAGCAGATAGTAAACGCATGTGGTGTGCTCTGCTGCTGCTGCAGCCGTCCATCTGTCTCAGGGTTGTTGTGTGTGATTATATTTTGCATCCCTTCGTTACAACATTTGTGTTTTTTGTGTTTTTTTGCTATGTTTTCCTTTCTATGAGTTTGAACCAGTCATCTTTGACCTTTTACTCAAGTCATATTGAGCCACACAGTTACTGCTCACTGGATTTTTTTTCTTCTTTTTCAGACCACTCTCAATAAAATTCAGCCATTTCAAACAAAAGTCATGTATGCACAAATTCCTACTTATATTATGCATAACAAAGCATATCAGAATTCTTGCTAAAGTGTTTTTTTCTTTATACAAACAATCGTAAAGCAAGAACTTTAAGAGAAAATTTTCAAATTTTATTTTAGTAATGCTTTTATCCTCTCACTGTAGAGACACTTGTGCCCAGTGTTTTAATCAAATGTATTATGTTCCACATTTTCCAGTATCATGTTGTGTAGCAGTAATATCCTGAGCACATCTGTCACATCTAAACATGCTAACTAAACAGCAGAAAAAATCAAGCTTCTGTTTGGTTTCAATTTGCAGGTGTTGACACCAAGATCACCAATGTCGGTGTTTCAGTCAAATCAACAGGGTAAATATACGTGTGTAATGTTTTTGCAAATTATGCTCCTTGAGCCTCGTTTTTACAGGTAATTTGCATTTGCACAAATCGTCACTGCAGCCTTTCTGTGTTCTGTGTTATGCTGCAGGCACCAGGGTTTATCCGTTGAAGGAAATCCCGAGGTTTTTGATCAGTTTGTCCTGCAGCACAAGTGCAACTACTTCTGCGGCCTGCTTGGGCTGAGGTCTTTGAAGGTCATGGACTCTTTAAGCACCCCAACAAAGCCAAAAGGCTCCAAAAGCCCTTTACTGCAGCGCAAAAAGGCTGTGCCCTCTTCCAGCCCTCAAACCAGCAGAAAAGCTGCTGTTAGCCCCAGGATGCCCAGGAAGGCTGAACCTGAAGGCAACAAGAGTTCTTCGACTCAAAAAGATTCTGAAGCTCCCAAGGTAGTGAAAGTAGTGCAGACCTGACAGAGCAGTATCTTCCCAGAGATCTTACGTTACAACTAGTACCACTTCACAAATCCCCACAAGGAAGTTAGAATAGTTTTAATAATTACATGCAATAATATTTAATTTTACCATGTACCATTCCTTGCCCTATGATACTTGCTGTGGAGAATATTTGTTATATGCTGCATTTTATATTTTTAATTCAGTTATTTAAGAAGAAGTGTAGTCCTTTATGAATTTGTTGTTTTGTTAGTTAAACACCAGATTGTAGAAGTCTAACTCAGGTCAGTATCTCTACTACAAAAGTGTAAAATGAATCAAACTGAAGCTGTGTTACATGTTACACGTTCATGACTGTTACTGACAGCTTAAGAAGTAAAAATATAAATATGTATAGCCTACAGAGCATTAGCAAGCATATGAAGCAGACCTGGAGTCAACCATTTTTTTCTTATAAAAATTTAAGCGTATTCAGCTTTAGATGGTACTGTTTTACAAAATCAGGCGACGTGATTATTGGGTTTTATTTTGCAAGCTGAGATGTTTTCTTGCTACTCTACTTTGCACTTTGTATTTTTAAGAACTGACTCTTGAATGTAACACACTATGCAATAAAATATATGATGAAATCCATTTGCTTAGAGATTGTAAAAAAATAATAATAATACATTACATATACATTTCTACATTTTTATGACTTCTGTTATAATTTTATGGATTTCTTTATAAATTAGCAGTATGCAAAGTTAGCTGTGAATAGTTTGCAACAGACAAATTTGTCAGAGTATTCAAGTTATGCTGAGTTCTGGTAAACTCAGTTCAGTCATTGTCACCATCAGTTTATCATTAAGTTTAAGAAGCTCATTTAGTGAATGCACAGGTTGGAAATAAATGCAAAACTGCTCAGCTAAACTTGACTGCATTGTTTGATAACTGGGATAAAATTGAAATCCACGTGAGTGACTTGGAATCAGTCTCAATGATGCGATTGATTTGACTCTTTTTATATAAGGCCTTGAGACAAGACTTATTTTGATTTGGTTCTACATAAATAAGCTCAGTTGTATTCGTCTGAATTCATTTTTCATATTTTAGATAGGCAATCTTTGTCACCCTAATATTTTTCCTTAATTGCGCCATAGTTCTTGGTGTGGAAGGACATCTACTAAAATAGGCACAGATTATCATAGAGAAAGTCACTGTTGATAAGATGGTCACCACTCAAATGTTCTCCTCACAATCACCAAGTAAGCCTGGCAGGTAAGGACACATTAGAAAAGAGAATATATTTTTCACAATTGAAAAATAGTTTTACGTGAGTTTTTTTTTTTTTTTTTTTTTTTAATTTGCTGATTTTAACAGGTACAGTTAATTTGGAGAAGTCTGTCTCTCTCGCTAATTCTCATTAAAACTGTTGCTGCAGCATTTTGGTTTTGTGAGAAGTTATTCCAGAGAGGTGGCCAAGATTTTTTGTATTCCAAGAAACAAAGACTATTTCACACGTACATATCTGACATTGGTTCTCACTCTTGATCAGAAATAGCCTAGCAGTAAAAACATGTCCAAATGTAACACCTCTTATAGGAGGAAAGTCGTTTTATTTGGTTAATACTTCCCCCAGCTATTTCATCTAAATGTTTCTAAAGTTTTAACTGGCATATTAAAATAGAAAGGCTAGCTAGTCCACTAAAACTGTGGAATAATTTACAGCTAATTCACCTCAGTCATCTATAACATCTCTCTTCAAAACAGCTCACAAATAAAGGACGCAGATGCAGATCTACTGCCACTAAACAATACAGGACAGAAATTAAAATTTACCAATTTCAATGTGAAAACAACTTTCATTGCTGTGAAAAAGTCCCTGTGATTGGAGCAAATAAAGGATTAGTGAAATAAAGCAGCTTTATAGGGTTTAGCAACACAAAGGGCCAAATCAAATTCCTTCACAAATATTAGAGAATGAATTATCTTGCATGTACAATGTATTTGCAGGGTGACATGAACTTTATCATGTTAATTATATGTGATTTTCAGTCATTAGTGAGTCATCGCTTATGTAAGTGGTGGCCACACACACACAAACACACACACACTGACACTGGTGCTGGAAAGTAAAATTTATGCAAAGATGGGCTTGTAGTGTCATGCCAGTAGATCGGTGGATTTCTACACATGAAGGAAATCATATTATTTAGGTGTGAAGTTACCAGTGCTCTATCTTTAATGTTATAGCAACACCTCTTCTCATATTACCATGTTTTTGGTAATATGGAAAACATGCTAGTACAAAAATAGTAGTCAGCTTGTTTTATATTCAGCCTGGCTAGAAATTGAGTGAGCTTCAGAATATGCGTTTCACCAAAGTGCGTAATGAAGCGACATGCAATTTTTCTACGCAGCTTTAACTCATTCGTATTAGTAAAATGCACCGAAGATTTACAAGGCCAACATTAAAACTAATAAAGCCTTAGAAATAAGACGAAATGTCTAGTTTTTCCCTGATACTTATTTTTACATGTGAATTTCATTGAGACACTTTTTAACTCTTAAGAGACTCACTCTGCTTGTATGAAGCTGAAGCTTTGTTACTTTACTTCATTTAAATTCAAAACTGTTTAATACCATTCTTGTTTAAATTTCAGACCTACAACAATTTTACTAGCATATTTAATTTACTTAATTACTAAAGTACTTAAGGTTCTAACTTAAGTTTGGTTTGCTTGTTTGTTTACAAGCTCAGGCTTTTATAAATAGAATAGAATAGACTAATCCTTTACCTTCATTTGGTAAATTTAACCATATCAGCAGCAAAGTGAAAACACAAAATATTGAAAATGAAATAAGGATTTTACAGTAAAGTCATATATACAACATAAGAAATAATTGTGCAGAACTTTAACTCACTTTCACTGCATTTAATTAGATTTATTAATGGTTTATTAATGGTTGGTGTAACCAGCTGTTGAACTCTTCTTTAAATAAACAGAGAGATAGATGATAGATGATATAATGGGTGTTTCGATGGTAATTCCCAAACAAACGATAGCACAGCAGCTTCAAGGCTAGCCTTTTCTCATTTTGAGATTTTTTTATTTTGAGATTTTTTTTTTTATTTCAAACTTTAAGTGATTAAATTGAATACCTTTTTAGGGCACTAAAGAAAATGTTTTGAGGTGTGGCAACAGTGCTATCACATCCAGATTTGAACTATCCTGACACAACAATCCTGCCACCTACTGTTGGGTCAGTGACTCTGCTGTTGATGAGGCAAGACAAGTAAAGTGGACACTTAAAAGCGAAGTTCCATGAGATCAATTCCTCACGCCGAGACTCAGAGTTCATTGCGGAAATAAACTGAGAGGAACATTTTTAAATTTTCACAGCGTGAGGAGCAACACCACAAATGAAATACCTTATTCTAGATGTTTCCTGCAAGACATAAAAAGCCAAGATTATGAGGAAAGCAGAGAAATTACTGGGAAAAGATGCACCGTCACAGCTCCTCATGAGTAACGACGACTAAATAGATTAAAGAGATCCAACAGGGTGATCTCAGCATTTATGCTCACGATAAGACAAGGAAAATGAAAGAATTGTTAGTCCTCAATGGCAGGAATCTGACAAGCACATCCAGACCAAATTAATTCTTATTAAATTCAACAAGACTAATAATAATGTTGAGTTTGCGGGATTATCTTGTACTCAGCATGCAAGTTATTATCACATTAAACATATTCTACTGGATTCCAACTCAGATTCTGTCCCATAGTGACGCGGCATGTATAACTATGCTCAGAAGGTGTCTTGCAGATGTCGCCATGGATGATAAAAGCACTTAAAGGAGAGGATGAATGGTCTGTTTTAACAGTAAATTGTCATTTTTACTATCAAATCCATAAAATCTGTAAGATCCAAATATATCAAATAGGAAAAGCATAAAAACAGAAACACATGAAAGGCTAGCGGTGATTGTGACCTCTTGTTGTTGTGACTAAGTGACCTTAATTACAATCAGCAGGCCAGTGCGGTGGTGACCATTTAGGGAGATTATATGAAAAGGATTACGGGTTCCTAAATGCCACAGACTAGCTGGCATTTGAAAAAAAAAATTATCTCCACTGTTCCAAAAGTCGCAGGCTGCCACTGGTCTCGGGCCATCACTAGTTGACCGTCAGTGCCATATTAGTGTGCCGTATCATGGAAAGCTTTTGCTGACTAGGAAATAATGACTTTCTGATACAGATCTTTGTCATTTTTTTCTGCCACAGCAGAATATAAAGGCTCAATCTGAATACGATCTGTATGCTGTGTTTTGATGAGGAAAAAGGTGATGATGCCACGCTGAATCAACGGGGGTAAGCAATATACTGCAACAGACAAAGAAGCTAGTTCCTTGGTTTGACAGCAGCCACTCCATGGAGGGCATGTCTTAATGTGAATGCATGAGATACAACATCACAATTTTTTATTAGGGTTTTTATTTTCAACATTATCCTGAATAGGTGATAAAAGGCTTCTATTTGTTTATGTTTTGCTGTTTCACTTTTGAAATAGGTAGGCATATTTAATAATTAGAATGTTATTGAAAGTCCATTTGTTTCACTAACTCAGTTCACAAAGTGAAACACATACAGAGACTATGTCAAGCCTTTATTTCTAAGATATTTTCCCCATACAACCAATAGAAGCACAGCATTTTATTTTTTTACAAGATTGTAATATTACATCAGACTGAATCCAAAAAAACATTTTGATCATAGAAGTACAGGACAGATTGAAATATGTGTTAAGTTTGTTTTTCAATGGATATTTTTAGTCTGACAAACAAGCCCCATCAGAACACATTCTAAATTCTGCAATGTGACTATATGATGCAAAACCTGATAAAAACACAGCAGTTAATCCAAAGAGAGACTCAGTTTTACATTGCTTGAAAAATCAACGTTTCAAATTAAATGATATACTCCTCAGCAGAACTCATGCTGCTGATTTCTTTAAGCGAGCTTGTGAAATAGTTCTGCATGTGTCTCAAATGACATTTGAAAGCTCTTCCTTGCAGGAAGGCTCCATCTTGTTCTTATCACTGTCAAAATGATTGCACACCCGGGACCAATGATTGTGCTGCTGTGTTTTCATGTGTTTGGGATTATTGTCATGCAATAAAAGAAAGCTGTTACTAATCAAAATCTGATTGGGCTTTTGTGTATTTTTCTTTGATTTAATTTTTCCAACACCCAGAATACAATCTTTACAGATTTCAACAAAGGAAGAACCACCGTCATGCATTTTGACAGCTTTAGATGCTCACTCTTTTAAGACTCTGTGTGAACTAGCAATGTTTTTAAATCCTACTGCTATATAATTCAATAAGTAAGCTATTCTCATATCTTTCACCGTTAATTAAACAATGTAATCATTATATTTAACACACACACACACATATATATATATATATATATATATATATATATATATATATATATATATATATATATATATATATATATATATTCACACGCATAAATTTGTGACTCTTTTTGACAATTGCAGTCAAAAAGCGTCACTTTTTTCACTCTACTTCTTTCACTCCACAAGTTTAAGACTTGATATTCAACCTGTTAAGAACATCTTACATAAAACAG